CCATTCGCCTCCTCCCGATGCAGCCGGATCCCCTGGGCATCTTCACTTCCTCAAGGCACGTTTTGTGTCACAAGGCGAGATCGTTCCAAGTGTGGTTGCGCGTGAGAATGGTAGTGGTTTCGCTTTGTCTGTTCAGAGTCGCCCTTCGCAGATTGGTAGAGAGCAATTTTGGGCCGACAACGGCGCAAGCAACACGTTTGTCAGCAGTAGCGAAAACATGTTCGACATGAAGCCGATCCCAGCAGGAAACGAGTTCATCCAAGTTGAGAATGGTGCCTATCTGCGCGTGCAATGTGTTGGTAGCGTCAACATGGCATTTCACATGCCTGGTCCTTCGGGCGAGACCGATTTTTGCGTGCAGATGTCGGACGTGTACGTAGTCCCCGGCATCACGTCCAATCTGTTCTCTCTGCACCATACACAGCGTAGGCAGAGAATTACGTTGGATGGCGTGCATCTATTCAATGGCCATCTTTCCTTTGCTCACTCCGATGTAGGATGTTCTCTTTGGGCTACCCGCTTGCCTCCCACGTATACCGGTAGTGCTGTAACCCTCGGTCCCGATGCCCTCCCTCGTGTGTCTCCCCAAGCTCCCCCGCCTAGCGTTGGGACAGGCCTTGTTGTCGCGAACCCCCCTTTCCCCCCAAACACAGGAGCGGGCACACATGCGAGTACGAGCTTCCCGTTCACTGGTGGAGTCGCTGCCGGTGTTGTACCTTCGAGTTCGAGTGCGAATCCGAGCTTCCAGTCCGCCGGTGGTGCCGCTGCCGGTGTTGTACCTCCGAGTGCCAGTGCGAGTCCGAGCTTCCAGTCCGCCGGTGGAGTCGCTGCCGGTGTTGTACCTTCGTCTGCGAGTGCGACTTCGAGCGTCCCATCCACCACGTCCGGTGTAGTGATCCCGCGTTGTGCATTCCCGCCCATCGACGTAGATGTAGTGCCAACGATTATTGCCGACTACCAGCCTGTAATCACAGCTGCCGTAGCGTCGTCTGAGATTGCTTCTCCCTCCGTCGTTGACCCGAGCGATTTTCGTGAAGTTGTGATCAACCCCCTCATCCCCCAGGACCATTTGCCTCTCATGGATATGAGCATGTTCCTTGATGTACGCCTGATGGATGGCATAGACTCGGTCCCACAGGGTGATTTTTTTCCGGATGCAGGTTTTGTTGCTGGATGCAGTGAGCAGCAAACCGTAGCTCCCCCCTCCCGCTCGCATGCCTTGGCGATTATTGCCCCCGGTACTTCCCCGTTTTCGGTAGGAAAATCCACGCCGACCATTGACATTAATTTGTTCCATGCCTCCACCGACCATGTAAACGAATTTTTGATGCGTGAAATGGCCAAGCAGCAAGGCGTACGACTGATGGGGGAGATGAGGCCATGTGTGGGCTGCGTGAAGGCGAAGGGCAGGCGGGCACCGGTGCCGCGGCGTGGCACCCACGCGGCGGTACCGTTCGGCAAAGTTCACATCGACCTCACGGGCCCTTTCTCTGACGCGCTGGACGGCTCCCGGTACCTGATCATGTTCGTGGACAGCGCATCGCGGTGGCAACGGGGGTACGGGATGCGGGCAACGAGCGACACCCTGAAGTTCGTGCAGCGGTTCCTCGCCGACGTGAACGGCATGGGCACTCCGGGGTGTTTCCGCGTGGACAACGGCGGCGAGTTCACCGACTCCGCGTTCACCTCGTTCTACGACGCTGCTGGCATTCGGCGCGAGTACACCGCCCCCGACACCCCCAAGCTAAACGCGGTGGTCGAGAGCGCCAAATGGCGCGCTATGAAGGGGGGCCACACCGCGCGCCGCCACATCCTCGCCATGGGCCACGTCGACCTCTCCTCCATCCCCAACGTCTCCTTCAACGGACATCGCCTGTGGCTCGCGTCGGCGTTGTGGGCATCCGCCTGCTTCAACCGCTTCGCGACGAAGGCCAACCTGGGCTGGATATCGCCGTTTGAGGCGTTCTTCGGCCGGAAGCCGCCCNACTCCGCGTTCACCTCGTTCTACGACGCTGCTGGCATTCGGCGCGAGTACACCGCCCCCGACACCCCCAAGCTAAACGCGGTGGTCGAGAGCGCCAAATGGCGCGCTATGAAGGGGGGCCACACCGCGCGCCGCCACATCCTCGCCATGGGCCACGTCGACCTCTCCTCCATCCCCAACGTCTCCTTCAACGGACATCGCCTGTGGCTCGCGTCGGCGTTGTGGGCATCCGCCTGCTTCAACCGCTTCGCGACGAAGGCCAACCTGGGCTGGATATCGCCGTTTGAGGCGTTCTTCGGCCGGAAGCCGCCCCTCACCGTCGTCCCTTTTTTCCAGGGGGGGATGATGCGCGTGAAGCAGGCGAAGGCGGACGTCCAATCCGCGCGGTGCTTCTACTTGCACGGCGCCAACAACCACTCGACGTCTACCGTCGTCGTTCTTCGCGCTGACACCGGTCGCCTCGCCCTCACCAACAACGTCGTGTGGGTCAACCGCCGGGCAGG